CCTAACATTTGAAATGAAGGGTGTTGAATTTGATAATATGCATATAGATTCTGCTTTCGTTCACCTGGTGTAAGTTATATCTTTGTTTGATGGAGATATGTAGAATAGAATAAAATTAGAATAAAATTTTATTGGATAAAGTTACAATTATTATGTTCTTGGCAAGTCACTTGAAGTACAAAATGCTATTTAAAAACGATTACAACATGAAATATACACCTAAGCTATCATAAACATGCCTACAACATTCTCACAAATCTAAAATATGAATTTTGCTGTTTTCGAAATGTAATCAACCAAAATTTTCGAGAGGTGGAGGTGTAGTTATGTTATGTGACTGAAAATTGGGAAACATTTCAGAATGATGCTTGTCATGGTAATCCATCAATATGAACGGATTCCTTGAATGAAGTACTCAGCATTTGTCTATAAAAATTTTGGGTCTGGTCTTTTTCCGTTTTTTCTCAAATTATTACGGTATGTAACTTAAGATTTTATGTTACCTAAGCCCAGGTTACAGATGTCAAAAAGAAACTCAAAAAGCCGACATTAGTCCAGCATTAAATACTCCACAGTTGAAATATTTCATCAGAAAAATTAATCGCAAACCTTTTTTTTACATTTTCATCCAATTGATATTCGTTTGAGGGGAACTGTTATCTTACATTTTTTACATAAACAACTTTTGGCCAAACAACTTATCTTGGCGAGATATATACCCTGTTAAATGAAAAACCTCACTTTCAGATTGAAATAATACTCATATTCATATTTTTCATCTTCTATGATCTTCATCTATGAGGCAACTCTATTTATCTGTCCAAACTAGAGTCACTCTGTATTGAAATAATTCTCATATTTTCATTTTTCATCTTCTATCATCTTCATCTATATATGAGGCAACTTTATGTGTCCAAACTAGATTCACTCTGTATTGAAATAATACTCATATTTTTATTTTTCATCTTCTATCATCTTCATCTATGAGGCAAATGTATGTGTCCAAACTAGAGTCTAATTTGCTAACGTCAGGAGCTGCCGATTTGAAATAAATTACGACACTGATGCCAAGTGATGCGTGTTTGTTTTCGTGGTGCGTGTTGCTGTTCCTTTTTGTTGATAATTGTCAGTGGTACTTTCATTATTTTGTGGTTATGCCCACCGACTTATTACTCTATCTAGACTGCTAGTAATCATATCGCATCAGCAGCCCGAAAATATAGGGTCAGTTGCTTGCCTGAAAATGCTTCTGCTCAATACGCAGGAACCTCCAAGCTGCCGTTCATAACTTTGACGGCTTAAGTGTTTTGTTTATGTCATCAGGGGTCGGCCTAATGAAAATAATATCAAAATTGAGTGATGATAATAATTTTTCGATTTATTCTGGCCAATCCTAGGAAATATGAAGTGCTTCGTTCTTGTGTGTACCAATTCCACGATTGATATATTCATTGAGATGTGAAGAATTTGAGCTCAGGCGTGAAGTGCCATACCTGCGAATCTATTTTAGAAGATTTTGGGTTAAAAGTTTACTAATTCAATAATGATTCTAGGAATCCTGAGAATAAGAGAGATAAATGGTTTGAGGCTATTAGGAGACCATTGGACCTTAGCCATTCGAGAAGCATAATTATGTTCAGACCATTTTACGCCAGAAGACAGCTTTCTGATGCTTCCAGGCAAATCCAAGACATGCAAATTCGCGGTTTGTTGAAATGAAGTATAATACTTCGCCATATTTTATTCGTTTCTCACTACTTTATGTATTGTTTATCAACCTTCTATATTCTATAGTATACCCCTCCCAACCTTTTTCCTTCGATACGCCTACGTTCCTTGGATTCATGAGTCTATAAGTCGATGGTTATGCCCAATAGAGTTTCAGAGCATCGTCTGGGGATAATCCTGCACGGTTCGCTGTAAGGGCCCGAAATTTTGAACGGCCCTTGAGCCCAACTAAATCGAAAATAGGCTCTGTGCATTCTGGGGGATGGCTATGAGCCCGAACTTGCTCATCTAGACACGCCAAAGCCACCCACCTGTCTGTGCTATTCTGGGAAATGGCTATAAGCCAGAACGTGCTCACCTAGATACGTCAAAGCCACCCAAATAACATTATCAGTTTCATCGTTAGCTACATGAGGTAGTTACAGCCTATTTTAAGATGCCTTTTCAAAACTATTATACTTTGATAATATCATTAAAACAATTAAACAACCTTCTCAAAACATAAAGGGCCCACCTTTATAAATGCTGTCACAGCTTCTCTTAAAGCTTGTCATAAAGCTAATAGGAATTTATTGTAGTATGCCTCAAAGTAATAATAAAACCTATCAAAACTAATTCCTTTGAAGCCTTTTAGCACGAGTTCAAACCTATATGTTTTAAAACGACAGTTCTTATGCCAACATTAAAACTCATATATTGGCTGGAATTGAAACCTTATTATCAGTTGCAGTTAGCATTTGTTGAGATAATATAGTCCGTAACGTGTTTTATGATAGTCTTTTTTCAGAACTTATTATAATACAAACATGTCAAAATGGAGAGAAAATGATAGATAGTTATAAAAGAGATTAAACATGGCGGTATGATATGATAATTCCATACTGTATCGAATAGTCCTTTTTGTGATGATTGAGGTTGTAAAATGAAACGATGACGACTTTTTTGACGAAAACATACCAAATATGCTTCAAAAAAAGCAGCGCCCTAGAAATAATGTGTTTTCATCAGTTAAAATTGGATGTGAATTTTAATAACTTTTCAAAAAAGTTTACAAAACTGTGTGAATGTTTACTGAATATGGGTGAGTCAAATACTGTCTGTAGGTTAATCGAGGAGGTGGTACATTCATTATTCCAAATTTTTTGTGATTTTCTCTCCTCGTTTCTATAAAATAAAAATATGAATATTATTTCAATATACGTGTAGTAAGGACAAATCAGATGATTTGCCCCAAAATGTCACTGCGTTTAAAGAATTTTCCTATCAGAGAGCCTAAAAGAAAAATTCACTAGCTTGTCAGTGACAATTTGTATTGAAAAATTTTTGGAGAAGAGAAATAAAGGTATATAGAAAAATGGTGAATTCAAGATTAATTAATGAAAACATCCTGTAACTCCATTGATTGCCAACGTCACCAATTGTCATTGAAAACTGAAAAGCTTCGAGACATATTATACGACTTCGCAATTGAAAAAATCTCTTCATGTTGAAAACGGGAGCAGAATCGGTCCCGAAACGTCCAAAGATAAGTGAAAATTCGATATATTTTCTATATACCTTTATTTCTCTTCTCCAAAAATTTTTCAATACAAATTGTCACTGACAAGCTAGTGAATTTTTCTTTTGGGCTCTCTGATAGGGAAATTCTTTAAACGCAGTGACATTTTGGGGCAAATCATCTGATTTGTCCTTACTACACGTATATTGAAATAATATCCATATTTTTATTTTATAGAAACGAGGAGAGAAAATCCCAAAAAATTTGGAATAATTAATGGGTGAGTCGTTTGAAAAATGTGGAAAAACAACATTTCCGACGGCAGTATCAATGCATCTCTTCTATTTTCCGCTTGAAATTTTCATTTCCTACAATGGCCGACATCTGTTTGTAGTAAATATGGCGCAAAATATACTTGAAACCAATTTTTTTTCTCTAATGCCTGATTAAAACCTTTAGGTAATGATAAGGCAATTTGTGAGACGATTTCCTCCTGTTGAAGTACTTATTGCATATTCAAATCCATTCTTATCTCCTGGGTATGACAACAAATCTTCGAAAATGATAAGATTGATTTAAGAAGGTTAAAAGATAATGCCTTCATAAAACTATAAAGCTTTAAGAATATCCTGGCTAGTGCTCATTGGCAGTGTTGCAAAGTGTAGAAGAACGTCATCAACATGATTAACATAACCCTACTTTTGTTGTTTACAGTGTTCACTTTGTGAATTTTGTGATTGATTTAAAGTAGGAAACCGAGTAGGAAACATAGACAAACTACACTCAGTGCAGTTCGCCTGATATTGATTGCTCCATTCTCTCAAATTCATGCTCTACTCGCCATCTGACATAATTTGTGCAAAACTGTTGTCAACTTCCTCGCTTCCTATAGTTCCCAATCAGAAGCACGATGATCAGAAGTATTTTTCATTACGTTCTGACTCGTTGATGGTACTTCATGAACATCAGGTCCTAATGAATTCTTGCTATTTGGTGGTTTCAGGTGGTATGAATTGAAAGACGCAGTGTTTGGAATTGCTTGGGCTTGAGAATTCTGATTTACTGTTGCTCTCACGACTTGATTTTTGATTCTTAAGTAATTTTCTTTATTTTTCTGCTTGAAGTTGCCATTTCTCTTAATTCCACACTATTTATTTTCTTGTGAGTTCATTTCAACGTGAGTCGTTTGTATGCAAAAAAAAATACGAACATTTATATAATAAGATTTGGGTTTAACACGGTTCTAAATAAAACTTCATAAATCCTATAGATTTTATGATTGACTTCGATGAATTCATTGTGGCTTATAGGTTTTAATAATTACTTTTACATGGCTAGAATAATGCCAATAGGTTTCATTATTGCCTCAGTCAAATCCTAATTGGCCTAGGATGAATTTGGTTTTATGGTTGCTTTATGACGTTTTTTCATAGGATTAGTTCAGAACCTCTTGGTCAAATTCGAGACACTAATAAAACTTGAGAGTTTTAAGAGGGATGTTAAGAGTGAATAGTTTTGATAAAGGATTTCAATGACTCTCACAGAGCTCTCTTAAAACCGAAGTGAGCTGAATGCCAAATTGTTTTATGCGATAATTCTATCATAGTATGTCAGAGCCTTTTAATAGGATTATATGGACATGAAGACCAATATGCTTTTTCCAGGGCGTTCATAAAACGGTAGAACAAATTAGACCTATCGTTTGCGCTCACATAACCTCTTTAAAGTCTCATCGAAGCTATTAGGCATTTAAAATGTTACTTGGGGCACCCACCTGTTGACGGATCCTGTCCAGTGCGATGGTAAGATTGACGCTGGCCGTTTCGCTGTAGTAGGCCGTGTATCCCCACGCGCCGCCGCACCACTGGCCGCCCGCCGCCGGCCGATTGGCCTCCCTGATGGACACGTGACCGTCGGGGCAGCCGGCCGCGGTGAACGACTCGAACGTGCCCACCGAAAAGGATTCGAAGCTGAGCTGGAACAAAAGAGACGAGACGGTGAGTCCAGGAGGCATTTTTGTATCGAGAACATTCGGACTACCGTACGCTCGATTGGCTGAAGTATTTCACGCATTTCTTTCTTCATAGAAGACATTTTGAATTAGCAAAGGTTTTGTAATGTTTCGTCTATTCAAAGATCTTCCTCGAGAGAACTAAAGCATATAACCTAACACAGTTAACGGATTTCATCATCAGCAGCTTCGATAGTTATCATAAACAAAGATTGCTTGGTTTAGTGATGAACAAGATAAGCAAGTCAACATTAAATCGGATATCTCCAAATGATAAAGATGTGTCGCCAAACCAAATATCAGAATTTGGTGAAATGCAGTACCATGTCCTGAGCAGTTCTTATGAAGGAATGAAATATTTTGTTGATATGAACAGCAATATATGTTCATGCCCTATAGGTATCACTGGAGAAATATGCAAGCATCAATCTGCGATAATAAGAAAATTCAATATAAGAAACGCTTCCAATACTTTGTCACTCGAAAGTAGTAGAGTATTGCCTTAACAGATAGTGAACAACATATGGAATCTCCTAGAAACAACAGTAATGATGTTATAAATGAATGTTATGAATTCATTTCGAAGTTCAACGAAAATTTTTAAGCCGATCTAGTGAGCTTTAGTCCAGCCATTGAAAAATTTTTGAAAAATTATAATTAAAATGTAAATAGCAGTTCAACACTTATGAGTGGATTACACAGCGCCTTCAAATTTGATCATTTGCCGCGCTCTCGACTGTAGGTTCAAAGAAAATTACAAGAAAAGGAAAAAAATTGCAGTTCAGCCGACATCTGTGTCTCGGAGAAAAGTGAAGATAACAGGTAGAAGATCAATGCAGGCAGGAAGAAAAGTGGAATTTAGAGTAAAAAAGTCTGAAGCTCCCCATTGTCTTACTACTTGTGTGAATGATAATATAGGACTCGGTGAGAATGAACTTGCGAAATGAAACTTATAGTAATTACAATAGGTACACTGTAAACTATGTCCGAATTTTCGTTAACCTGGTAGCCGCTTTTTATGCTGACATTTTTAAATTTAGTTTGTATTATAAATATTTTTAGTTCAACAATAAAGTGTGAACTGTTTTATTTTCAGTAATACGTTCAATTCACTTTTGTTTTATCTACCTATGATTTCATACGCCATTATTTGTCCGGGAGCACATTGAGACGCAGGCAAAACAGTTCACGCAGTGCAGTACAGGCAACATAGCAAGGATTTTAACCTGGATCCAGGTTTTCAGAGACACGTGGCTGGTGTTAGCTGAACACAGTCGCAGTAGCTTCAGCGTCCCTCGAGTGTGACAGGTATGATAATTTAACGAACTAATAGCGAATTCCTTTCGTAAACCTGGTGGTGCACTGGTTTTGCAAAATTTTTGCACCCGCAATACGTTAGTTCTCTCCAAAATGTGGACTGGTGCATTCCCAATGGAATATGGAATAATATTATAATTGAATTTTATTGTTGGAGGTAAAATCGGATAAGTTGGATTGTCTTTGTTTATAAGTCCGCATCCTGGAATTCTTTTTCAACTTCAATTGAGAAAAAAGTGAATGTTTCATGGAAATAGTTCTGAGTAATTTTCTTGATGAGTACCTCTTGATCATTGAATTTGCAAAATACTTTCAACAAAATTATGAACTCTGCATAGGAAGTAATCTTGTATTGAAGTGTTTTTTAGGACTTCATTACTAAAGGAACGGTTTCTATCTGAATTCCTGTCTTATCGTATATATTTCCATTCCGAGCTAATATTCCAGTGAAATCAGTTATCACCCAAGATACAGTGGTCTCATGATTGCTCATAACTCAAATACTAACCTTTTACTCGACATCTAGCAGATATTGAAAATATGCAGTGCCAGAGTTAGAGCGACACTCTGAAGGAGTACTTCTCACCAGTTTGATCCGCGTTAATGATTTAACTCAACAATTTCATTCCTGTGTTCATTCCTGTCGATAACGAACTCGCTTCCCCGAATAGGCCCTCGCTTGCAACTTTCAAGGTCGTATTCGGTGGTTCATTGTCCCTGCTTTGCTTGCGCCTGCACTCACACCTAACGTACTAGACACGCTTTGCTATTGTCTCGTAAAAGTTACAAAGTTAGTACACACTGTTCCTCGTGACTGTCATACGTCAGACGTCATGCCTGTCTGGTTGTCTGGATATCAATTGTCATAATTGTCAGTGAGAAGGTCAATTTAATTATATCCACATGATTGTATAAAGATTAGATTTATTGAATTATTGGCTGTAACATTTGATGAATGAAAGGAGCTGAATAAATCTCTACTTGACCTGTTTATGTGCTTCTGATTTCCCTATCCTGACAACAAAGGTATAAAACAAGTTCAAATTCCAGAAAACTACCTGTAAGAGTTGTAGTACTCAAGTCTCAAGAAGTGACGACTCAAAACATCTATTTAGAGCAACCAGTATTCCAGGATTCCCCAAGGGGGTGTAATTGAAGCCTATGTTCTCTTGGCCCCCTGCTCCCAGGTCGATTCAATAGCTTTGACCCCTGGTTTACTGTAGACATCCAGTAGATGTCTTTCTTCACTGTTGCTACCTTGGGCCTCCTTACAAACTCCGTTTGTGGGAGCAGGTGAAGTAAACCAACTTTATCTAAAATCTGGCGCTCGAGACACCCAGACAGGTCCCAGAAGCCTGTTCGACAAGCATCAAAGTAAGGGCCACAGAATAAAGGTCATTACAATCTCCTTTATTTTCTAGGAACCTCCAACTATTCATCACTATTTGATGATGATGAAAAAATTGCCACTCGTGCGAGAATTGTTGCACTGAGCTATAAACTATGTGAACCAGTTTTCCAATGGAATTCAAAACCCGGCACCAGTTTTACCAATGGAATTCGCTATAAATAGGAATATTAGGAAGTCTGCCGTCTTAATGTATCGAAATATATACTATTAAACCAACTCAAACATAAAACGGCAGTCAACCACCACTGCTGTACCGCCGTGACAAGACGCTTTGAAGATCAAAAATAGGTATCATTTCACTAAATAAGATGGAGATTATCTGACTATTTCACTCTTGGTCTCTAGAATCAATCAGAATCGGCCATTTTCACGGTTTCTTGTGTATTACAGCGATTTTTTGTTAACTGAATTTCATCGAACTTGCTCTACCAATACAGAAGCCAATTTGACGCATACGTGAATAACCTTCCTCGTGTTCCTCGCTATTTGAAGACGACGTGAGGCATTTTGACTTCGATAAATCAACTCCTACACGGAAAACCCTATTTGATGACGACGTGAGTCATTTTGACATCGATAAAAAAGGTGCATCCTTTTTTATCGCTGTAAAAATGCATGTTCCTTCATCGAGTATGCGACCGTCACTTCAATTTATTGTCGTGTTTGATAGGTAGGTATTGTATAATACGAAAATACGCAAAATGAGCCGATTTGGAGAAATTTCTTCGGAAGAAATCTCGAAATGTATAAAAAATACAATTCCGCAAGCAACTAAAAACACGAAATCGTCGAGTTGGAGACAATTCATGGAGTTTTGTGGAGCCAGAAATTATAAATTGGGAAAAAAACACCAGTGCCCCAAATAGCAGTCATTTTGAAGGATTGGGCGTATAACATGAAGAAGCGAAATGGAGATGATTACAAGGAATATGCTTTGAAAACAATCTGGAATTCGACTGCGAAGATGATTCAAGAAAAATATTTCAGTGAGTACAATATCAAAGTTGATCCTTTTGCCGATATAACTTTCAAAGAAGCTCGAGATGCAAGAAATAGTAAACGGAAAGAATTACAATCTATTCCGGATTAAAGAAAGTTAGGTTCTGTTGCAATAGATAAGAAAGATATCATGAAAATTGCCAAACTATGGAATGTGAATGAACCAGATGGATTGCAAGAAAGATTTTTCCGTATAGCTTCTTATGAATTAGCTTGGAGGGGAAGAGAAGCTGTGAACTGTAAAATATACGATTTCAAAGAAGAGAAGAATCAAGATGAAACTACTACAGGTAGAATAGAATATGATACAATATTTTCTAAGTGGGCACAAGGTGGGTCAAAAAGATTGGCAGACAGCGAATGGATAACAAAAAATCAAATCGATGAAACTATTTGTCCAGTGAGGTTATTAAAATTACTTTTAGAAAGAAGAAACGAAAACATAACATCTGAACGCCTTTTTTTAACTCCAAACCCTTTTTGGAGGCACAAAAATTCTAAAGGTTGGTTTGAAAATGTTCCACTGGGCATTAACATGATATCTTCTTAGACCAAAATTTCAGCAACAAAAATTGGCCTTGACACCACAACTAATAAAATTACCAATCATTCAAACCGTGCTAGTACAGTTACACAGTTAGCCAAAGCAGGAATAAGTGACCAGCAGCCCATAAAAATAACTGGACATTCTTCTCCAGCATCGATCGAACCCTATTTACAAATTGACCCTGAACATCACGAAAATCTAGTTAGTAACTTACGATCATCGGATATTACGAAGTGTACGAACGAATATTCGACATGTGTCGAAACCATCAGAGAAGAAAATATAGAAATTTCGACACCAAACCATAATATTTTCAAAAATTGTAGTTAATAACTGCTCCTTCCTAACTCAAACATTTTCCATCAGTAATCTCGCTCGAAAAGTAGACAAAATTGCTCGACCTACGGTCTCGCAATTTTTTCATGTCATTTTCTCTCGAAAAATTACTGATTGGCAAATGTTTTCGTTAGGAAGAGAAATTTATCCGATAAAAAAATAGATACTGTCTGTAGGTTAATCGAGGAGGTGGTACATTCATTTTACTTGGTTCTTTGGGATTTTCTCTCCTCGTTTCTATAAAATAAAAGTATTCGTATTATTTCAATATATTTGTAGAGGGACAAATCAGATGATTTGCCCCAAAATGTCACTGCGTTTAACAAATTTTTCTATCAGGGAGCCTAAAAGAAA